GAGGGTGGGGAGCCCCTGGCCCAGGTTGCCCAGGGAAGCTGTGGCTGCCCCATCCCTGGGGGTGTTGAAGGGCAGGTTGGATGGGGCTTGGAGCAGCCTGGGCTGCTGGGAGGTGTCCCTGCCCATGCAGGGGGGGACTGGGTGGGCTCTGAGGTCCCCCCAACCCATTCCATGGTTCTATGACTCTATGATCTCACTGGCTTTAAGGTCCCTCCACCCCAAACTGTTGGGTGATTCTAAGTCTCTCCCTGCCCTCCAGGCACTCACAGACCCCCTCTGGAAATCAGGGATCCTTCCCCCAGGAGCTGCCACCCAGGAGACAGAGGAGCCTGCAGGGATCCCAGAGGAGCCAGCAAGGACATCCCCAACCTCCTGGCAAGGAACCAGCCCTCAAGCCCTGACCCGGGCACAGGAGCAGCCAGAGGAGCTGGAGCTGCAGAGCCAGGAGACACCTCAGCCCTCCTGCCAGCTCAGCCAGGCTCAGGCAGGGAGGTGGGGAGGAAACCAAGGCAGCAAATTCCCGAGGGAGCCCAGCTGGGGCCTCCCCCCAATCCCGGGATTAACATCAGTTCATGTTTCAGGATCTGGGAGTGTTTAGTTTGGATGAGGCTGAGGGGAGACCTCAGTGCTCTGCAGCTCCCTGGAAGGAGGGGGTGGGCAGGGTTGGCTGCTTCTCCCAGGGGAACAAGGACAGGACTGGAGGAAACAGCCTCAAGTTGCCCCCAGGAGGCTCAGGTTGGATCTTGGGGAGAATTCCTCTATGGAAAGGGTGGTCAGGCCCTGGAATGGGCAGCCCAGGAGGTGCTGGGTGCTCTGGTGGGCATAGGGGGCTGTGGGTTGGGTGCTGGTGGGAGGTTGGTTTTTTGGGGGGGCTTTATGGGGTTCATTTGGTTTTTTGGGCTTGTTTTGCTTCTTGTTGTTGTTTGTTGGGGTGGGTTGTGTTGTCTCCCCTGCCCACCCTGGGGGCTGGTTGGACTGGCTGATCTCAGGGGTCTTTCCCAGCCCTGAGGCTCCTGTGATGTTGTGTGACCTGGGCTGGGTCAGACCTGCCCAGGAGGTGACTCCTGGAAGGTGGAGAAACCTCATGTGGGACAGAACTCACAGGTCTGAGCAGAAGCTCTGGCACAGAAACAAGGCCAAGGAGCCCGTGGTTCCAATTACTGCAGAAGAAAGGGGGAGCTGAGCCCAAAAGGTGGTGGATTAGACACAAAAATAGACAGACTTCTGTGGCCAGGACCTCTAAGCCCTGCAAACATTCCAGCTTCCCAGCCAGGAACCCCTCCAGAGCTGCCCGAGGCTTCCCAGGGAAGCCTGAGACCTTCTGCTGAAGTGAAGCTGCTCTGAACTCCTCAACCCTGAGAGCCAGATGGAGCTGGGACCTCCAGCAGCCACCACCTCTGGCCACCAGGATGGAGGGAGAGGAGGAGGAGGAAATGGGGAAGGTCAGGAGGGACAGCACCCAAAAGCTGTGGGAGAAGTGCTGCTCTGGCCAGGAACACCTTGTGTGATGCAGGGATTCAATGCTTTGTTCTTCCACCAGGGCTGGATCCCTCCCTGTGCTCCACAGAACCACAGGATGTCCTGGGTTGGAAGGGACCTTGAAGGGTCACCCAGTCCAACCCCCCTACAATCAGCAGGGACATCTCCAGCTGGACCAGGCTGCTCAGAGCCCCATCCAGCCTGACCCTGAACATCTCCAGGGATGGGGCCTCTCTGGAAACCCATCCCAGTGCCCCACCACCCTCACGTTAAAGAACCTTTCCCAACCTAAACCTTCTCCACCTGGAAACCATCCCCCTGTGTCCTGCCAAGCTCCTGCTCCTTCCTGGAGCATCCCAGGGCAACTCCCCCAAGAGAGGAAGGTTTGCAGGTGCCCTCCTGGCAGCTGCCCCTGCAGGGCTGTGCTGGGAGCAGGGAGGACTCACCTTCTCCTGCAGGACTCCCCCACGTTCCTTCAGGAGGCAGTTGATGATGACAGTGGCTGCCCGGGAGCAGTTGGTGTCGGGGTCCCCCAGCCCCTCAAACAGGGAGAGCAGGAGGCTCAGGAGCTGCTCGGGGGGGACGCGTCTCCCGATCACCTGCCGGGGGGGGAAGCAGGAACTTGTCACTCTGGGCTGAGGGTGGATCCTTGGGTGACACCAGCAGGGCCACAGCAGCTGCTGGGGACATTCCCTGGCCCTGCAGGAACATCAGCCAGGAGCCCAACCCCGTGGAAACCAGGGGAGAAAAGAGCAGACCAATGGTCCAAAGGCTGGATAACCTGGAGATGTCCTGGCAGGGGGTTGGGAAAACACAAACGAGCCACCCAACTGCTGGGATGATGCTCCCCCAGGTCCCACCACACCCTCCAGACCTGAGGCTGGAATGAGCTGCTCAGCAGAGAAGTGAACTGGGGGGATTGTCCCCAGGAGCCCCAGGAGCTGAGGGGGAGCAGCTTCAAGGAACAGCAGCTCCAACACAGCTCCAGGTCCTTCTGCAGCAAAGCCTGCAGAGCTCCCAGACAGGAGCTCATCCCTGCTGCTCCCCCAGGAGCACAGGGGTCCCCCCTCATCCCAGCCCTCCCCACCAGAGCCCAGACACTCTCCATGTCATTCGAACCATGGAGGTTTGAGAGCCACATCCGGACCCTTTTTGGGTGTAAAGCTGCACCCAACAGCTTCCCCAGTGCTGCTGCCAAACTGGGAGGCAGCCAAAAGCCCAGTGCCACCCCAGGGGGTCTGTTGGTGCCCGACACCAACAATGGTGCCCAGAGAGGGAACCAGCAGCTCCCAACGCAGTGAGATGCCCTGAGCATCCCCTGCCCAGGCCAAGGGGATTCTCCAGCTTGGAGAACCGTGTCCTGGAGCAGGGCTGGGGTCCCCAGCAGCCCCCAGGACAGACAAAGCACCAAGTCCCCTGCAGCTCCTGCTCCAGCCCCTGCACAGCCCTGGGCTGGGGAGGATTCCCCCTCCATCCTACCGTGGCAATGTTGCTGCAGGTGTGGAAGAGCACAGTGAAGTCGGGCTCCTCCAGGCCCTTCTTCAGAGCCTTCAGCCCTTCCACCATCTCATCTCTGTAGTCCCGGGCGTAGCCTGGAACCAGGGAAGGGTTCAGTGAACAGAGTGACCAGGGAAGGGCCCTGGAGCTGGGGAAGGGGCTGGAGCAGAAGGAGAAGGGGCTGGAGAACTTGTGAGGAGCAGCTGAGGGAGCTGGGGGTGCTGATCCTGGAGCAAAGGAGGCTGAGGGGAGACCTGCTGGCTCTGCAGCTGCTGAGAGGAGGTTGGAGCCAGGGGGGTCGGGCTCTGCTCCCCAGGAACAAGGGACAGGACAAGAGGGAACGGCCTCAAGTTGTGCCAGGGGAGGTTGAGGTTGGATCTGGGGAACAATTCCTGCCTGGCAAGGGTTGGCAGGGCCTGGCCCAGGCTGCCCAGGGCAGGGGGGGAGTCCCCATCCCTGGAGGGGTTTCCAAGCCCTGGGGATGGTGCTGAGGGACACGGGGCAGGGGTGGCCTTGGCAGGGCTGGGGGATCCTAAAGGGCTTTTCCACCCAACCCATCCCATGCTCCTGCTCTATCCCATGACCTCCCCGGGCTGCAGGGAGCAGGTTTCCCTCGGGAGCTGCCCTGGCTTGAGGAAGGAGCCAAGAAACCCAAAGCAGCAGCCAAGGGCCAGGAGAGCTTGTCCTGCAAGTCCCCAGGGGCTCTGCAGAGCAGGACCCAGCCCAGGTCCTCTCCTGGCTGAGCTTTTCTGGCTGCCCAGCTCAGCCAGAAGATCTGCAGGGGAGGCCTGACCTCTCCTGGAGGGAATGGGAATCCCAGCCTGGAAACCCCCTCGGCTGGACTCTGGTTTGAGACCCCAAGACCCAAACGCTCCCAGGATGAGCAGCCTGATCTGGCTGATCCCAGAACACCCGGTTGGATGGGATCTCAAGGATCATCTGACCCAACCTTTCCAGGCAGAACAGGGTTCATGAAGGTGTCCCTGCCCTCAGCAGGAGGTTGGACGTGCTGAGCTTGCCAAGGTCCCTTCCCACCCAACACACCCAACCCACCCCGGCAGCAAAGCTCCTGGGCAGGTCGCTCCTTTGGGAAAGGTGGGAGGTGGATCCCCCAGCCTGGCCCCACAGGGTCCCTCCCGCCGGCCCCCAAGCCCCC